GAGGGTGGGCACCTTCAGGGAGTTCTTATTTCGCTCCAGATACTGGCCCAGCTGTGGGGAGGGAGGTGCCGTCAGGACCCCAGCATGGAGCCAGGGCTGCTGGCAGCCACTGACCCCCCTTCCTCTGGGGGCAAACCCCAAGTCAGCAAGATGTTCTGGCGACTTCCTCTATCAACAGGGCCTCTGCTTCTGCTGAGTACGGAAGGCAGGAAACTGGGAGAGGTGTCCTTTGCTCTAAGTGTCCCTTGGCGTCCCAGCCATCCTCAGGGTGCCTGGCCTGCCTCCTCCAGCTCACCTCCCCATAGGAGTACAGTTCCATGATGATCCAGGTGGGCTCCTCTTCGATGATGCCGATCAGCTTCACGATGTGGGGGTGGTCGAGATTCTTCATGATCACTGAAGTGGGAGCGGGAGGTCACAGAGGAGAGTGGGGGAAAGCGGGAGGAGAACCCTCCCCTCTCCCCTCCCGTAGAGGGCCAGGGAGTCTGGGCCCCGCCCAGGCGTGCCTACCTGCCTCGCTCATGAACTTCTCCTTGTTGTCCAGGGTGCAGTCCTTCTTGCAGGTCTTGACAGCCACATTGATTTTCTCCCCTTTCTGCAACAAGGGGATTTAGGGAAGCTTGGTCCAGCCTAGTGCTCAAAGGAAACCGTTCCCGCCCTGGCCTCCGCAGGGCCTTCCCACGGACTTTGCCGACTGCTGAGGGGCGAGGCGACCTGGCCTCTGCAGGACACACCACCCCTTCCTTCCCTCCATTTCTCTTCTCCCCTTTACCCTTCCCTTCCTCTTCTTCCCCTTTCTTCTGGACCAGGCTGGGTTAGAACCAGAAKGGGGTTTGGAGATCAAAGAGCTCAAGCCCTGCTGTGCAGACCAGGATGCTGAGACGCGGGGCCGCGTGATCTGCCCTGGTTAGCAGGTGACCCCAGGCCTTCACGAGATKCGGGCTGGCTGGCCCTGTTCTCTCTACAGTTGGCTTCAAACTGTGCTTCCTTCCTTCCCTCCCCACACCCCGGCGCTGCCCTCCCCAGGCTTGCTGAGCATGGCCACAAAGGCGAAGCCTGCCCACCTAGAGGTGCCCCGGACGAACTCCCCCCTGGCTGGGTCCACCCTCCTGCCCTCCGTGTATTCTCCTACCAAAGCCTCCGTGACCTTTCTCCAGGGCTGCCTCTATTTTAATCCCCAGGGATTTTCTGTCCTCCTTGGGAATGACTGTCCTCCCCATCACTCCCTGAGTATTTCATAAATACTCCAAGCCACGTGGATAAGCCGTGGTCCTCCATGTCACGGCTTCCACCTCCAATAGCCTCAGGATCGAGTGCCTGCCTCACCCCCAGACAGGTGGACAAAGAGTCGGGAAGAGTCTGGGACTCACGTGGTTTGTGTAGACCCCTTCATAGACCTCCCCAAAGAAGCCTTCTCCTAGAATACGGTTGAGAACCACATCCTCGCGGGCGATGCCGTACTGTGGACCTGCACAGATGGAGAACACAGCCCCTAGGCACACAGCCTAGCTGGCATCCCCTGGTGGCCCAGAACCCCATAACACATCAGCCAAAATGCCCAGGCTGGGCTGGGAAAGGGGATCTAGAATGTTCCACTGCCTCAGATCCATGGAGGAGCCATCACCCCGTTTCCTGGGTCCCAGGTCCATGTTCTTAGAACCCCCATATCCCACAGACACACAAAAGCACGTGATCCATCAGGGGAGGACCTCAGCTTTCAACCCACAGGAGCCCGGGCTGCCTGCGGCCTGAGCACACTTGGGGCAGGAGGAAGGGAGGGCAGGAAGCTCCACGGTGGTGTCCCGGGAGTCCTCATCATGTCACTTCCCAGACCCCTGACTGGTGGCCTTGGTGGGGTCCAGGACCTACCTCCCGGCCGCCTCAAGGTCTCGTCAGGAATCTCTGCATAGATGTCTGACTCTGGAACGACAGGAGGACGCCCAGCCCGCGGGCGAGATGCCTCATCAGGCAGGGCCAGGAACCGGGGTGCGGCTCCCACCCGAAGCCCAGCGCAGCCAGAGGTCAGGGTGCTGCAGGGGGAAGCTGGGCAAGTCCGCGGCTCCAGTCCCAGGCTTTGGGGCAGCCACTGAGCCTGGGGTGCCTTGACATAAGTCTCTGTTTTGTTATCTAGGGCAAATCCATCTCCTTCAAACACACCTGTTACCCATTTAACACCATTATGATGAACTGGGTGCTTGTGTCTCGAAGCCCTAACTCACAATTTGATGGTTTTAGGATATGTGGCTTGGAGGGGCAATTAGATGAGGTCAGGGAATGGAGCCCCCATTACAAGATTAGTGTCCTTATAAGAGGAGGAACGGCCACCAGAGTTCCTTCTCTCTGCACCACAGGAGCACACAGTCATAAGGCAGTCATCTGAACCTGMTGGTTCCTTGGCCCTGGACTTGCCAGCCTCTGGAACTGTGAGAAATCAATGTCTGTCTGTAGTCATGTGGTCTGTGGATTTTGTCTGGGGCCACCTCTCGTTATGACAAACCCAGTGTGTGCATCGACTACTCAATATATGCTYGCTATTACAACTGGTGATATTTTAAAGCCAGCGCTGAGAAGGGTTAGGAAAGGTTGTTTTCTGTAACTTGGAGGGAACGGTCAGAAGAGCAGGCAGAGGGACCAAGCCCGGGGAGGTGGGCACAGGCCATGGGCAGGGTGGGCACAGGCCGCGGGCAGGGTGGGCAGGCTTACCTATGCTGCAGCTTTCTGAGAGGTGGGACCGCCTCGCCTCCAGGTTTCTGCAGGAGGAGAGAGGGCAGGAGGCAGATGAACACAGAGCTTGCAAAGCTCCCCCAGAGCCTTCCCCCCTCACCCACAGCCTGATTGCAGAAGCAGCCCAGCAGGGGCATGGCCTGGGCCTGGGATGGGGCTCAGCAGCAATCCTCCCAGGATGTCACCAGGGGGCAGCAGGGAGCACAACACGCTGTGGGAAAGGCCAGGGTCTAGAGTTCTCCCAAAAATGAGGGGGTGGGGGCACCCTGCTGGTCCATCCTCCTCCCAGTACACACTGGCTGAGCTCAGGGCCCTTCCAAATCCCCACTGTACTCACAGGGTGGGGATCTGGGGCAGGCTGTTCCGCTTCTCACCATCTGGAGAGAGAGGAGGGGAGGGAAGATTGGAGCCAGGGACACCAAGTCTTGGATGGATGGAGGGCCTGTCACTGCTCCACAAGGAGACCCCTCCCCACCTTCTGTCCCCGCTCAGGCTCAGGGTGGAAGCTATGTAGGCCTTGGGCCAGAATCAGAATCCTCCTTGTAGGCTTCCTCCTGCCAGCTCCCGTGATCCACCTTAGACCTACTTGCTGACCCTGATCCCAAAGCAGAGTCCCACAGAGGAAGGTCCACCATGTCCTAGTAATGGCTCTGATTTCCCTGTACCACAAATGCAGCTCCTCCAGAAGCTGGCCTCTATGAGGCTCTGACTAGCAGGACCAGGGGTGGCTGTCCAGGACCAGGGCCTGTAGCTGGCGACCCAGGGTGGCCCCACAGGAAGCACCTGCAGGGCTGCTTGAGCGCCTCCTCACACCCCTGAAGAAGGCATTTGCTCAAGGGCCAATGGCTCCGCGCCCCCATGCCTCCACATCGCCCTGCAGGCTTGGCTCAGCGTGCAGCTGTCCACTGTTGGGCACTGCACCTTTCAGGGGGACCTACCTTTCTTGGGATGGATGATGAGAGAGCCTTTATGTTCCCCCTGAAGCCGGCAATAACCGTCTATGAGGTCAGCCATGTTCTCAGCCTCTGCCAGGGATGAGGTTTTGATGGACAAAGACTGCAGAGAAAAAGCCAGCCAAAGGTGAGACCTCAAGACTTGGCTACACTGTACCTGCTAGTACTGCTAGAGAGGCTGCAGGACCTCCACCCCCAGCCCTGCTGCAGGACCCCCTACCCCAACCCACGCTTCCTCTGGGCTCTGCTGGCCTTCCCTGTCGCCACTAGGGGGCGTGCTTGTGCTCCCTCCTACTGACCACCCTGAGCTCTGGGAAGACCAGTGAGAAAGCACGATGCCTTGTACCACGTGGGGTGCTCTCTATGTAAAGCAGAGGCTGAGAAATGGGAAGCAGAGAGGGGCAGGGACAGACAGGGGAGAGATAGATGCAGTTGGAGGTCTCTGATTCTTCCACCATGAAATCCCCCTGTCCCTGGGATCTTGACCTATAAGTCATTTTTCACTTGGTTAATATTGGRCCCCACTTCTTTCCTGACATTAAAAAAAAAAATACCATCACCCCAACACCTTGTTAGGGCATGGGTGCAGTTTTCTTAACCAGATACCCCGAGCCACGGAAGCCCTGGCTTGGGGTATCTTGTTAAGAAACCCATAGTGATACCCCTGAAGAGCCTCCAGGTGCCCAGGGATGCTCACCTGGGGTGCGCCTTCAATGCCCAGCTGCAGGACAGCCTGGCCCTCCTCCAGCGGGAGGCACCTGATGGACCTGATCTGCTTGAACTCAGCCAGGCAGGTGGGCTGTGGAGGAGAAGGGGGCCTTCAGAGCATCCCATTGCTGGGATCAGGCAATACAGATGGGTCAGGAGGGGGAGGGAGCAGCAACTGGGAGTCTCTCTGCAGATGAAGGGAGTTAGTCTGGAAGGATCATCGAGTCCAAGCCCCTCACCTTTCAGAAGAGAAAACGGGGTGTGGAGAAAGGCAGGACTTGCCCAAGGTCATAGGTCAAGGTGGCAGTAGAGTCAGAACTGGACCCAGAACTGCCTCCCCTTGCCACTTACAGAGCTACTCCTCTCTCTGTATCAGGAGAACGCCAAGCACGTCCTTTTCTCTCTCTCTGCACCTATGTCTGCAATAAGGAGCATCTGCCCAAGCTGCCATCCCCAAACACTGTCCACAGAGCTCACACCAAGGGCGTGGCTCTCTGCTCTCAGCCATGGGGAAGGAGAATGATTGGGCAGACAGAGAAGGCGTCGGAAATCTAAGACCCTGAGCCAGGGGCTGGCGCGGCCTCAGTGCTCTCTACCTTCGCATCTTGACTTGTCAGCTGGCGGATGCCTTTGGGGCCAATGACCAGGTCCACCGTGATGTTCCACCCTTGCTGGAATAGAGGAGAGAGGGGACTGTTACCTCTGTTCTGCCACCTGGTGTGTTGACACTCTAAGAGAGGCTCACTAAGCTACACCCCACCACGCAGCTCACCTCTCTGGATAACTGCCCACCTGCCCACCTCCCACAGCTGGAGGCCAACATTCAGCTGATCCCTGCTCGGCACATGGATTAACACGAGTTCTGCCATAGGCAGGTAACAGCAAGGCCCTGCTGCCCGAGCTCTGTTCCTGTCCCCCGAATAGCTCCCTGGCCCCCTAGCCTGCCAGCCTGGAGAGAATGAGGGGGGTGGTCATTACAACAAGTTCACAGCGATAGGTCTCCTGATCGATGTTGGCAAAGCCCGCCAGGGTGTTGAAGAACTTCATGACACACTCCTCCTCCCGGAGCGAGGCGTACTGCTGGAAGGTCTGCTGGATCATCTTCCGGAACTGCTTGGGCTGGGGAGAGGTTGGCAGTGCTGAGCCAGGCCCTGCCCCTCCTGGCACCTGTCCTTCCACTAGGTCTCACTGAGAGGATGCCCATGCTGGAAGGTGCCCCCAGGGCTCCTGCCATGACAGCAACACTGACCTGTTCCCCAAAGCACACTCAGTGGTCTTGGCCAGGGCCCACCCTAACCCTGTGCGGGAGGCAGGGAAGTCGGCCTCCCAGGGCTCAGGCTGCCTCTTGGGAGGCTGGAGCGAGGCACAGCCCGTCCTGATTCTCCACCACAGAAGTGGCCCACTGGGGGCATTTGGCTGTCCTATGTCCTGGCTCAAGGCAGCCCAGATGCTCCAGCTTCTTTGAGGATCCCCAGCCCAATCCTTGTAGTTCTAGCCCAGGGGATCTGCACAAAGCAGGGTTTTCTGGGCCCCTCACCCTTTGATTTTCTCACCTTTAAATTCTCCTGCATCTGCTTTGGGAAAAACAGGTCGAGTCCCACTTCCTTTCTGAAAACAGGGAAACAGAAGCAGCATTTGGCTCTCCTTCCCTCCAGCTAGGACTTCTGGCCAGTCGGGAGGGGGTACCAGGGCTTGGGGACCAGGAGAAAGGCCCTGACTACCCTGCTCTGGTCCAGGGCTGAGTGGGAAAGGAGGCTCTGGAGGGAAGGAAGGGAGGGGGTCGGGAGGCCGCCCCGCACTTACTCCAGGAGCTCGAAGTTGGACTTCTTGTCAAGGGCGTTGTGGGGCATGTCCTTGAAGAACCGCCTGGAGAGAAAGGAGTCACGGGGAGGAGAGTCGGTGGCTGGAAAAGGAGGCCACCAGGGCAGGGCACTGGGATTCATGGGGACAGAGCAAGGTGGCAGGGGGGTAAAATTGGATCTTCAGAAAACAGCGAGGACAAGGAAATCCCACAGACTTTGTTCCCAGAAAGGCACCAGCCTCRTGCTCTGGGAGACCCAGCTCCTGGGCTGTGGGCTCTGAGGCTGAGGAAGAAATGGCGGCTCTCTCCACAGTGCCCGAGGACAGACAAGCCCAGAGGCCAACTCTCAGGCCATCAGCGCGGGGACGGGACGTCATCTGCACCTTCAGGTCCTGGGTTCCTGGGCACTTTCTTTTTTGCCTATTTGCTATCTCTGAAATGTGTGCATATGTTTGTGTGTTCACCTAAACAATTATTAAATGAACATGTTAAAATTTTTTGAATTTATAGAAGAAAATAAAAATGATTCATGATCCTACCACCAGAGGTGGCATCTATTAATATATGACACACCTTCTTCAAGTCCCATTTCTCCTAAAAATATATGCATTCATGAAAACTTGTAGGTACTGTCAGATGCCACATAATGACCTTTTGGTCAACARTGGACCACAGATATCATGGCGGTCTCATAAGATTACATCGCCTAGAGTAATAGCTGCCTTAGTTTGTGTAAATGGACTCTATTGTGCTGACGTGACAATGAAATTACCTAATGATGCATTTCTCAGATTGTATCTCCATTAGTAACTGATGCATGACTGTGGTATTTATTTGTAGCAATGGTGGTTTCAGCTGAGACCAAATAGCCARTGTCCCTGCATATGCCAGCCTCTCTTCCCTGTCAGGATTGCTGTGTCTAGTCATTTCACTGACTATTGCAGACACTGTCCAATSTTACATTAAAGTAACTGATGCCTGCAATCCCAGTGATTTGGGAGTCTGAGTCAGGARAGCCTCAAGTTAGAGGCCAGCCTCAGCAACTTAGTGAGATCCAAAATTAAAAATAAAAAGGGCTGAGGATGTAGCTCAGTGATAAAGCACCCTTAGATTAAATCCCTAGTACCTAGAAGAAAAAAAAATAACTCAGTAATCCTTTAAGCCAGGTGTCCTATAGATGTCTGGGACCAGTTTTGTGCTACTAATACTATAAGCAGAGAGAAGCAAGTAACTTATGACCCCAAAGCAATGAGCTCAGACCGCTCACCCTGTTCAGAAAATAGGAAGGTTGGATCCTCACCTCAAACTATTATCTAGAATATTTATTTTCTAAATATAGATAAATATAAATATAAATATAGATTAAAAATAAATATAAGCAATAAAACCATTATGAAGCTAGAAAAAGAAATCTAGGAAAATATTTTCATATCACAGGGTCAAGAACATCTAAAGCATGAAATTATAGAAAAAAACTCCAATAGGATCATAAAGAATAAAATATTATGTCCTGAACAATGTTTAATAAATGGTGTCTTTGAATATATTGTCAAGCAACATAAGTAGCTGTCACTCACARGAAAATAAGCATGCTGGGAGACCCCGGGATGGAGCTACCCAGTGAATGGAGGCCACTGAACTCCAGGCACAGTAAGACAGGGGGTCTTCCTACCTGGGGAAAACCGAGTCTGTTTAAGATGCCTCAGGGGGACAAGTCATTTGGTTCCTCAAACTTATTTCTAGCATATAGGCCATGAGTTTCACATTTTAACTTAGAGCAGGAGATTTAGATTAAATAATRTAGTTGGCATTTGTAAAGCACCTCCACTAGATCAATAAAACATCAGTTAGGCTGCACTCCAACTATAGGATATTCTGCAAAAGGCAAAACAAGGTGACAATATAAAGCCCAGCAGTTGCGGGGAGTAAGTGGGAGGGAGGGATGAAGAGGGGGGACATGCAGCATTTTGGGGGCAGTGAAACTAGCCCGTATGATAACATAGTGGTGGAGGCAAGCATTTGCCCAAACCCCAAGAACGTGCACCTCCAGGAGCGACCTTCATGTGCACTGTGGCGTTTGGGTGATGGTGACGCATCAACCGGAGCAATCGCTCCACACTCGCAGAGCGGCGATGATGGAGCGCTGTGCGGGTATGGGAGAGGAGGCACAAGAGAACTCTGTGCCATCTGCTCAGTTTTGCTGCAAATCTAAAACTTCTCTGAACAAAATTCTATTAGAGACAAATAAATAAATAAAATAAGGGTTGAGAGAAAAATGTCAGCCAAGTAAATACACAGTTACAGAACACTTTAGTCCCTGTCATGGTTGTAAGTACTTGAAATATAGTAACTCACTAATTCCTCCTAACAACCCTGTGAAGTTGTTCCATCATTCCCATTTTACAGATGAAGGAACCGAGGCACAGGGAGATCAGACGACTTGCCCAGGATAACAGAGTCAATGCAAGCCCCAGGATGCATGCTCAGAAAGCCCAGCTTCTGACCTGTGCTGTACATCATTACACCCAATTCTCTGGATAGGATCTGATCTGAGTCCACAGAGGATTCATGTCCCTACGTACTATTTTCCTGGTGGTGTCGTTATCCATAGGCAAGGTGTATAATCTGTGATGCTAACAGGACAAGGGACTGTTACCCATGATTTTTCAAGCAAGAGTCACATCCCTGGAAGAGTCGACTTCATGGTATGATTTTCAGAACCATATCTGACTCTGTTAGTGACAATRGTCAAAACTTCACTTTAAAATAGCCCAACTCCACATACAACTGCGTTCTATCTTCCCTTTTCATTTAAAAATGATCAGACCTGAAAAATCTTCCATCAGTTTTACAAAGCAGGTGTTTCCCACGCCCTTTCCCCATCGGCACACTCCCTGACCTCAGGGGTCACCGGTAAGAACAGGAACCTCTATCTGATGCTCCTGAGACTCAGGAGACATAAGGCAGCATGTCCTTTTCAGGAAACAGTCCTGGCAGCTGTTCTCTGATCAGCCCCTCTAGACTGCCCATTCCTGACCGCTCTCTCTTCCAGAGCCTTGTCCTCCAGCCTTTTAGTGCAGCCCCTGGCACTGAAGCCACAACCAATAACAGTCGGGGATGACTGGGGGGTGTCAAAATGTGAAGCGGACTGCAAATGGATCCCCTCTGGGCTGCTTTCACTAAGTGATGACTGACAGGTGATTCACTGGGGTCTCCAAGTGATACCACAGCCCCAAGTGTGAGATCCACCAACAAACAGGAAAAGATAAGCTCTTTAGAACTGTCTAACTTGGAGGGGAAGACTATAGGATGCCATGCAGAGTATAAGGGCTGCAGGACTCCTGGAAGGCAGGCCAGGGCACATGGTGTCTGTTGTCCCAATGATGTCATTAGCCTGCTATTATCATGGCCTCTTACATGCCAGCCATCTTTACTCTCCAAGTTCACCCCACCCCCATTCTCTAGTCTATGCCTTTCTTCCTCCATCCCTGGGCGGGCTAGAATGCATGTCCCACTGGGTGCCATTATCTGCCAACCAAGAGGTATTTTTTCCTTCCAGGAGCAGTTCAAATCCCCTCTCCCTGCTGCCTGCAGGCAAGGTTAATGGCTTCACTTGGAAGAGTGGTACATGTTCGTTCTGCCTTGTATTATGATTAATTGTGTACACATCTGTCACCTCCCAAACACTGTGAGCTTGAGGACATCGCCGAATGCTGTGCTAATTCCACACAGAGTGCCTCCTGGAGCTGGGGTGCTATAGCGGGCAGCACAGATGGGCACCCCTACATTCCAACAGCCCCAGGGCCGGCCTGGTGCTCTGAAGCATTTGCAGAAACACTTGCAAAGGACAGAGGGAGCAGCAGGCAACCCAGAGGCAAGGGCAGGGCAGGGGGTGGGGACTGAGCAGAGGGAGCTGGTCCTTCTCTCCCATTTATTCCAAGGACCAGATGGCGAGCACCTCAGAGGCCCACTCTGCTGGCTTCCTCCCCTCCCCTTCCCAACTCTCACGTGCCCACTCCCACTTCCACCCCGAAAGTCCAACACGACACTCTCCCAGGAGAGACCTTGAGGCCACTTACCTGAGCTCCAGACAGCCCAGCTGCAGGGCCATGCCCTCGCTGACCTTGCTGGCATAGCGCTGCATGTAGTCATTCCGGAGCTGGCAAGAGAAAGGTCACAGGTCAGACTCACACCCTCACCGTCCCCCTTCCCTGAGCAGAGACCCAGGAGGTGACACACCCCTGCCCCTGAGCTGTCTCATGCTCACCCAACCATAGACAAGCACTGAGCAGGGATGGGGAGCAGGATGGGAGCTTCCTCTTGGCTCTGCCTCTGCCCCCTGGGTCCCGAGCCCCTTCCCAGGGGAACTTTCATACACCTTCTCTCCCTGCTCCAGAGTCTTCACCCCACCCCAATTTGGAGAGAACTCCCCCACCCTAGATTTGGGGAGGAGTCATTAATTTTTCCAAAGCCCTATTGATAGGTAGGAACAGATGCCATCCATGGTCCAAGAAATGTCTGGATTAGTGTCCAGGAAACCAGAGGGGAATGCAGCTGAGACCAGCTGGAAAATAATGGCAGTAGCTCCCTCTTCCTTGGCACTTCCTCTGCACAGGTGCTGGGCACTTATTTAATGCTATGGCATGTCAAAGAGCTTGTTCTCACATCTTTAGAAGTTTTGTGAACTGGTGGATATCCCATYGGTAGCTTGAATCAGGTCTTGGCGGGAGCATTTACACCATGGGAATTGGCAGGTGCTCTAAACCAGGGGTCTCGTCTTCCCAGAGACAGCTTACCTGCACACTGCCAACGATGTCATTTGATCCTCACAATAACCCCATCGAGTAGGTATTAGTATTTTATAGACGAGGAGACAGTTTCATGCAGGTAAATGAAGTCTCTGAGAACACCGGGATAGTAAATGGCAGAGCTGGCTAAAATCCAGGTATGAAAGACCCCAGAGCCTGTATGTTAACCTGCTTTTCCTGCTTCACTAGCCAGTCACCTGGGAAGCCAAGGACATCCTAGAGGAGCTGGGAGCTTATGGAACAGGTTGGTCTGCACCAAGGTTGGAGCAGCTGACAATGGTTCTCAGGCATAGCACTCAGGGCTTTTGGGTGGGGCCCTCCAAAACCTGGGCTTTGTCTTTCCGTCTTCCTACGAGAGGGTGGATACACTTGGCCTGGAGGGTGCAATGGGACTCTGGAGGAACTTTTTACCTGTTGGTAAAAATAAAGCAGTGTGGTCCTGTCCTCTTTCAGGCTCTCCATGAAGTCTTCCGGCAAGTAGCGGATTTGAAGGTCATACCTGTGATAGGGCGATCAGACCCTGGGTGATGCAGGGAAGCTCGAAGATTGAGGAGGAAGTGGGTCCCTCCATCCTCCCCACCCTCTGCTCCCCTTCACCATAGCACTATAGTATCCCAACTGGGGACATTTCTGGATACAGATCTATTGTGAGTCCACGTCAGGCTTTGAAAATGCATGCATTAGACATTGTAGGAGGTCTAAGTCTAGGATGCCACTTGGATTTTCTAGAAGATTCTGAGGATGGGGAGTGCTGTGGGGAGGACCTCCAGGGCCTCCCCGCCCCACATTCCTACCTCCACTCGGCCTCCACGTGTAGACATTCATACTTGTCCTGCACCTCACCCACCGTCATCTGGGGGTGCAGCCAGTGGATCTCATCTGACTTCATGTGCTTTAGCCTCAGTCCATAGCACTCAGCCAGCTGGATGTTGGGCCCAATCCGCCCACTTAGCAGGATGGAGGTGATGATCTCCTGCAGAGAAGAGAGGGACACAACTCAGGGGTGTTCCTTGCTGGGCCCCCCAGGGTGTGATTCTCTAGGGTGGGATTCTGCCTTAACAATCTCTTTGTTTCTGATTCCCTAGCACTTAGTGCAAGATGTGGTACACAGTGAGCYGTAGGTGGTGAATGAACAAATGCTGTTCATTTAGCCAAAATGAGACAGAGTCAGAACTGAGGAGACAGCACAGGTGCTGTGCTTCTGCACTGCATTCCAGTTGAACCAGCTAATACTCACTGAGCACCGACCATGTCAAAAGCACCTTCTTAATGGTTCCCAAGTTCACCATCCTTACCGAGTACCGGACCAGTCATTGCAGGATACTTTACACACATGATTTCACATGGGGAAGCAAGCAGGTATCACTGTCCTTGTGTGACAAAGAGGAAACTGATGTAGGTCACACAAGCCATGGCATTAGGCTGGGATTTTGAACCCTGGCCTGCTGGAATCAAGATTTCTACTAGGCCAAGCTGATTCACTGGGATGATGGAGAGGGCGAGACAGAAGGACAAGACTCACCTCAAGGGAGCAAGTGGCACAGTGCCCACACAAGAAGGATGGTCATAGGAAATGAAAAAATGACACGAAAGGTGGCCTCTAGTTAACTGGGCCACTTACCCACAGCCTGATGTCCTAGCTTCCTGGCCAGAGCCAGAGCTGGATTGACAGGAGGGCCACTCGGGCAGCTGGCTGCCTGGATGTGAACCTCTGAGGCCTTGCCTTGTTCTGACATCACTTTTGCAACATTTTCCCTCAAGCCTCTCATGTGGTTCCACACGTAACGGGTGACCGGAGCCCACTCTTGACAGCAGAGAGATGGCTCAGATGCAAACTTAGAAGCCCGCAGGCACTGACCTATCCTGATGGATGGCTTGGCAGTGTGAGAGACGGATCCATGCCCAGGCAGTAGCTGTTCTGACCAGGAAGAGCAGAGGCAGTTTATTATTTAGATTCCGTGATTTTTTGTTGTTGTTATTTTTTACCATGCCTCCCAAGAAGTTCTCTAATTTAGTAAATGAAATGCAGCTAATCTCTTAATTGGAACATACAGAAGGAGATATGACATATTTTTTCTCAGAAGAAAATCTGTTTCTTTCTATCTCCACTAGGAGAATGTTAAGCTAATATTAAAATAATACAACTATGAAGGAATGCCCAGTTGGCATTCATCTGCCCAACAGCACGCGTGTGTCCAGCTACCTCCTACCAGGATGCTGGAAGACCCTCAGCCTAAAACCTCCCTTTCCCCTCAGGAGAAAGTTGACTGCTACAGAGAAGTTGACTACTGCTCTGTGAGAGAGCTGGGGAAACTGAGGCACAGCATGCACATGTCATCAGTTGTAACAAATCAGCATGGGAATCAACTGAGGCTCAGGATGTGGAAGAGGGCTCTGACCTAGAGTACCCACTGGGAGAGGGACGTGGGTAAGAGGATGTGAAGTAGACAGTTTCGTCACTCTCCACCCACTTCTGCCACTCATCTGTACCACTCTGTCCACAAGGTCCTCATGATATGGTACCCAACCCCTTTACCCTCCTGAGCCCCACCTGGAGTTCCCACTTCAGGTGTTTAAACTGAGAGCCTTCCCTCTCCCCAATTAAAACCGATTAGGCTAATGTCTAATTTCCTTAGGGCTGGGCTCCCCGTGCTGTTTATTATTGAAAATCTTTAACATATGTAAGGTAAACAGAGGAGCATAATAGCTTCCCTTGTACACACAACCCAGCCTCAGCAATGACCAACATTCTGCCCCTCCTGCTTCATCTGTGCCACCCCCTACTCTCCAACTGTGACTCAACTATTAATTTACTTTGTGGTTCTTCTTTTAAGGTAAAACTTACATACGTTAAAATGCACAAATTTCAACGGTATGATTTTGACACATGAATGCACCTGTGAAAGCCACACACCAATTAAGAAAGGCAGTTTTCCAGATCCCTGGAAAGTTCTCTCTTCTCYCTCCTCAGTCATCCCTCGTGGCTCACTCCCACCTCTCCCTCCCAGGAACCACCCCCTCCAGAACTTCACGTAAGCGGGATCATTTCATAGGTGCCATTCTTTTGTGTCTGGCACAAGTTTTTTTCACCAAGGATAATATCTGAAATTCCCCCACCTTGTTGTATATATCAGTAATGTATGTCCTTCCTTCCTTCCTTCCTTCCTTCCTTCCTTCCCTCCCTCCCTCCTTCCTTCCTTCCTTCCTTCCTTCCTTCCTTCCTTTGTTTTCGGCGGGTACAACATCTTTGTTGGTATGTGGTGCTGAGGATCGAACCCGGGCCACACGCATGCCAGGCGAGCGCGCTACCGCTTGAGCCACATCCCCAGCCCCCAGTAATGTGTTTCTTTTTATTAATGGGTGATGTTCTACCTTATAAAGAAAACACAATATGTTTATTTAGCCCCCTACTCTTGGAAATAGGGGCTATTTCTAATTTTGACCATTATGAATTAAGTTGCTGTGAAAACTAATTTACAAGTATTTTTGTGTGTAGATGCTGTTATGCCTTTGAATAGACACAAGGAGTAGAATTATTAGGTCGGTGTATGTGTGGCCTTATGAGAAACTGCCACGCTTGTTCCACTTTTGTGTTTCCATCGTGACACGAGGCTCCTGTTACCCTGCGCCTTCTCCAACATTGGGTGCTGTCAGTCTTTCTAATATCTGTCATCTCAGTAGGGAAACCGAGGCACGGCATGCATGTGTTAGCAGATTGGTGTGGGAACCACTTGAGGGGCAGGGCTAGTAGTATATTATTGTGCCTTGATCTGCATCTTCCGATGGCTAACGACATTGATCACATTTTTACGTGTGTATTGGCCATTCACACTCGTTCTTTGTAAAGTGTCTGTTCAGAAGTCTTCTGCCCCTTTTTCTATGTTGTGTTTTCGTGATTGAGTTTTAGGAGATCTTTATACATTTTAGCTAAAAGTACTTTGTACGATCTGTTTTACTAATATCTTCTCCAGATCTGTAATCATTTCCATATTAGTGTCTCGGTATCTATAATTTATCAAAAATTTCTTTTATGGTTAGTGCTTTCTGCATCCTAAGAAATCTTCACCTGCCTCCAGGTCATGAAGATATTCTGTGTCTTCTTTTATAAGAGTCATAGTTTTGGAGCAGTGGTAGAGCGCTCACCTAGCAYAGGTGAGGCACTGGGTTTGATCCTCAGCACCACATAAAAATAAATAAATAAGAATGAAGGCATTATGTCCACCTACAACTAAAAAATACTTAAAAAAGATTCATAGTTTTAACATTTCCTTTGAGGTCTGTGATGCATTTTAAATGAATGTTTCTGTGTGGTGTGAGGCAGGGATAAAACACTTGTTCATATAGTTCTACAGTCATTTGCATTGGTTGTTAATGTTTCTTTCCAAATGAATGGTTTTCCTGTCTTTGTAGAAGATCAGTTGGCTATCTAAATTTAGGTCTATTTCTGAATTCTGACTCCTTTCTATTGATCTTTCTTCACACCACGCTGATACCATAAATGTACACATTACTGTAGTTTTAGGGATCTTAAAGTCAAATGGGATAAATCTTCTGTTTCTCCCCAAGATTATTGGTTTTTTAGATCTTCACATGTCCATACTGATTTTAGAAACAGCTTTCCCTTTTCTTTTCCAGAACTTTGTAGCATTATTATGATTGGGACTGTGTTAAATCTCTAATTTAATGGGGTGGGGACGCAGGGATTGATCTCTTAGCAACACCAAGTCTTCCAATTCTGAACATGGTATCTCTCTGTTTATTTATATTTTCTTGAGATTCTTTAAGTCATGCTTTATAATTTCCAGTTATAGGTTTTAGTCCTAAGTGGTTGGTGTATTTGATGCTTTTCTAAATTGGGATTTTTAAAAGTTGATCATTTATTTTGCTCGCCCTTTCTGCGACTCCCTTCTTGTTGCTCTGCCGGCCCCGGGTTCTAACCTCTTACCCCTGGGGTTAGCAAGGCTGCTGCTTTCTGCCTGCGCCCCTCCCAGACTGGAGAGTGTCCTCCAAAGGAGAGCCAGGCACTCCCACTCACTCATCCAGTCCATGTCACAAGAGCAGATGTCCTTCTTAGTCACTGCTTGCTGTAGGCACTCTTCAGTCCTTAGAGATGGCTTTAAAATTTGGTCCTGGTTTTATCATTGTTACCTGCAGGAAGATGAGTCCAACCAAGCTATTTCACTGGTTTTGAAATCTCTGTTCTATTTTATGAACAAATGTGTGTCCTCTGCAAGTGGAAGAGGCCCGGGGAGCTGAGGGTTCCTTTCAAGTCACTAACAGCAGCACAGCAGCACAGCCACTGTCAGGAATAGCCAGCCCTGGTGCCACTCCAGCAGAGCCCAGCCACTCCAGTGCTCAGCTAGATGTCCTGGGACAACACTGATGCTCTCTGGAGTCTGTTTTTGTTTGTTTGTTTTTTAATTTATTTTTTGTTTTTAAATCTAGAACATGGGGAAAATGACAGTATTTGGAATGGTTTTGTGATAATTAAATTAGTTTGAACTCTTTAGACTATTACTTGACTCAAGGTAAATACTAAAAACACAGACAAATGAAACATTGTTTTAACAACAACYTCATGCAAAGTCTGGTGCTTCATAAACTAGATTGGGAAAACAAAGTTTTGGAGCCTCCTGTTCTACTCCTCTTTTTCTTTTCTTTTTCCTTCCCCAGGAGGTGGTGGCAGGGCCAAAGGTCAAAGTGCTGAGGCTGAGGGCCCAGAGCAGGGTCGCTAGTGATTGGGAGATTGGCTCCACCCAGGGGGCTGAGCAAAGAAGAAATCTATGAGGATGCTAGGAAACTTTTACTGCTGGAAGGAGTACACAAACTATGGAGAGGGGAAGGCTAGAGCGGACCCCGTATAAGGAACTGGAATTAGAAATAGTATTTGACTCACAGTTGAAGACAATGAGAGAGAAAGAGACTGAGCTTTGTTTACCGAAAGGGCTTAGGGGCAAGGACATTCCATAGTGATTTGCAAACCAACCATCAAGTCTTAGTTTCCAGATAAATACCCTTCTTCACTGAAAGTTATCTAAGGTTCTTTGGAGAAATGGGTGATTCCAGGGCTGGGGCAGAAGAAAAGAGAAGAGTACAAGATGAGCCTGAAACATCATTTTTGTGCCAGGAAAAGAGAAAATGTTTAGAGGAYGTTGGGAATATATGACAATGAGACAGAATGAGCTTGAAGGGACCCACCATGGCCAAATCTGGGACAACCTAAGTATTAACATATAATGATAGAAATTACATCCCATGGAAAAAATAGACTCTGAATAGATAAATAAATGGGGGAGAAGAGAATGCTTTTCTTC